AGAGGGCCCACGTGTATGTGGTTTGTGGGTGGGTCGAGATGGGGTTCGTGAGCGAAAGTGTTGTACACGGGGGGCCGGCGAACTGCGCGGTGGAGAACTTTTGAAGGAGTTTTTTTTTGTGTATGAGTGTGAGAGAGCTCGTGTGATGGATGATGTTGCGTGTAGTTTTATTTAAAAGGTAAACCTTTGCAAAAAATGATGAAATTCCAAAGAACGATATTTCTGGATATTTCAATTGCATCTTCTAAGTTGAAATTTTCCGACTTATTTAAAAAATTCCAACAAAACTATTCCAACAAAAAACTATTCAGTTGGAATGAATTTTCCATAAAAAATACATTGAAATTTTCATTTGAAAATCTTTGGAGACGGGTGACGAATGAAACAAAGTTCGTAACAGAACACGACCACTTTCCGCATCATTTGAGGTTGTTTCGACATATAAAAGGTAACCGAAAAAAGGGAAAGAAAAAAAAAGTCCGACTCGACAAGTATTACATATAGCTAGAGACGGTATTAGTTTTCACGACATCCTTTCGAAGCTACCACCAATCTGCATGTGTAGCCAATCCGGAGACGAGTCCCTATTGTATTCACGTGCGCTTTGGGAACCGAAAGCTATGCCGGGAACCTCAAACGGTTGCTGAGCAAAATAAATAAACAAATAAATAAATATAATAATATCGGCATATGTACGGATAAAATAAAATTTCGAGACACGTACGTCTTTAGAATGATATCCATCAATGGTCTCTCTTGCATTTACTGCTTCGAGCTTCATCGATAAAAACTGCAACAAATGACGATAGTGATTCGTACATTTTCACGAACAAACAAACACATTCACACACACACAAAAACATAACGTATAGAGAGAATGAGAGACCTCAACTTGGCGCTGTAACGATTGAATATAATTAATAATCTCATCCAGCACAAGAGCTTTGCCGATAACCTAAGACAGGAAAACACATAATGTGAGATGTAAGAAATATATAACTACTAGCAAAGTATGAAAGAACAAGCTCTTAAATGAGAAATTGACTATATGAATTGAGGTAACTTACCCCATACAAACTCAATTCTAAAAGAATATAACAATTATCATTTAAATTCAAGAAACGAAATTATAGAGAAATAAAATGTTGCTTCTCACTTTATTACAACCAGGAACTAAATCCTGGAGAATCTTCATCCTTTCACTGATCTTTTCTCTCCGGGCCTGTAAGAAAAGTTGATGATGAATTGATAAGGAAGTTTGGTCCGGTCATTATCCATCGATTTCATAACCAAGAACAGCTCAGAGATTTATTAAAAGAGAAGTTAAGTCTCGTAATTACTCTTTCGGCTAAGCTGTGGCTATCGGTAGCCTGACCTCTTCTGGCCCGAACATGAATATAGTCTTGCTTAGGTTGTTCAGCTGGCTTCGAAGGTTTTTTGGTACCCTTGTCTGAAGTTTTCTCATTTTCTATATTGTTTTCGTTCGACTCCATTGCCTTCGGCCTTTTACCATCACTTCCATTCTACACCAAACCAAAAATGCATGATCACACAACCGAGCATATAACAATTTTCACAAAAATGACAAAAGAAAAGGAACAAAAGGGCAGAAATATAAGAATTTTAAATTTTGAAACCAAAAAAATAAGGAGAGGAAAAGGAAAAGGAAAGAATCCTAGTACAGATTAAAGACAAAATTGCTCAATTTCATGAGCATTTTGTAGGGATCACATATGCACATAAGCATGCACAACTATTCCATCTCATCCAAACAAGAAATTTCTATCTAACATAAATGATAATTATATAAGAAAACCAGCTCCAAAAAAAATTGAGTCTTTAATAACATTAGTTGTTTTGTAGTCGTACATAGTTGACAATATGGGTATCAACGAGCCCAGTGTAGCTAGAACTCCTCATACTCGAGACTTAAATTGATCAAACCTTAACTAAACGATCTCGAGCTTAACAAGCCAAGCTATACATTTTATATAATTATTTATGTTTTGAGTCGGGCTCGAGTCTTAACAATCGAGCTCGTCTTGTTTCATTTTCATTTTGTTTACCTTTATTTGTGTTAATTTAACATGTGATCCTTTATCTAACTTTAATTTCAAGATTGACACTATAAATTTTAAGGAGTGTTTGTATAAGAATACTCATTTTACGCTCCATTCATACTCAAAATCCAATTTAACTTTAATTCAACTCCACTATATCTTCAATATTATAAATATAATTAAAAATACCAACCAATTCTTTTTACGTCAACTCACATACCTTTAACTAATAATCACTTCATATCATCTCTCATACACTTTTATATCAAATCTAACTTTAAATATTTTATTTTAAATACTATTTAAATATAAAATCAAACTCTCACTTGCAACTAATTATAGCATATTTTTCAAAATAAACCTTAGTTTATAAAAAAACTCGTTTTGAGCGATATATCTATATAAAAATTAGTCTTTCTAGTCTTTAATAGGGAAAAAATATATTGCCCAATGTTACTAAATTATACGTTGATTATAACTTCACATCAAATTTTATTAGTAAAACACAAGTCAAAAAATCTCAATTGATAATTACTTTTCATTTAAAAGCGTCAACTTATTATTTTTGAATAATATGATTTTTCGGCCCCTACTCACCATATTTTTTCTAGATCCACCCTTTGAATAATTTATGCACTAAAATAACCCCCGAAAAAAAAATAATAAAAATAAAAATAAAAACTCACCGGAAAATTATTATCGCCGCCGTTGCCGTTGCTGTTGCTGGTCGAAGCTCCTCCTTTGGCGCACATCTCGTCGTCTTCATCCTTCCTCTTCCTCGAGCCGTGATTGGTTGGTCCATGGTCCGATCCATGGTCCATCACCATTGGATCCATGCCCAACCCATACGGCGTCGCATTGGAGTTCACCTGAAAACCAGACCAGATCTCGGCGTAGCCGTAGACTCCTCCCCCGCCGCCCATCATCGCTGGCCCATGTGGATCCATATCCGACCCGGGGTCCGTAACCCGACCCGGCAAATCCCCAATCGCTAGCTCCTAATGAGCTTTGCAATCCGTGTGTTGATTAATGCGTACTGCGCACTTTACCCGCCGGCGCACAATAGCTACTACCAGCACTTGGATCTTTAGCTATATAGTCTAGAGAGAGAGAGAGAAGTGTAGAGAGAGAAACCTCGGGAAGTGGCTTCTGAGTGAGCTTTTCTCGGAGTGTTGAGCGCTTCGTGTCTTAAGGTGAAGGCTTCTTGTAATAATTTATTCTATTCTGCGGCTGGCTCACATACACCGACTCTAATATTTAATTCGTAATAAATTTTATCTTGTTTTTCCTAAATATTTTAATTAGTAAATAAAAAAGGATTATAATATAAGCTGGTCAAATTGATTTTTTTTTGCTAGTGGTAATATAAGGTGTAGGGTGGACCACGCTATAATTTACTCATTGATAAACTATCTATAATAATAACAATAATAATTACCTTAATTTGGCACTCAATAAATATAACTTTTTGACTCCTAGATTGTGGAGTATTTGGTAAAATTACCCGATCGAGTTTAAATTGTTAGTTTCTGATTTCTGGTTGAAAAATTAGTTGATATAACTAAAGTGTTTGATTAAATTAGTTGGTAAGTTAGTCGAAATAAAAAATTCAACGAATTAATCTGAAAAACTACCAAAATAAAACTATTCGATAAGCTTGAACTTAGAAAAATAAAATAAAATAAAAGTTATTTCTACTTGTTTGTATACAAAAAGTTTATAAGTTAATTTATGGTGTTTAACAAACTCACTCATAAGTGAATTTTGAGCTTATATTTTATAGATTATGACTGAAAAGCCAACTCATACGATAAAAGTATTTTGTAAAATTAGTAGATAAGTCATGTGAAATAAAATAAAACATAAAAAATCAATTGGTGTATTTAAAAAGCTGCCCAAAATTACTTATGAGATGCGTCATAACTTTTTATAATACTCCGTTTCACTACACCAAACTTATTTTAATATAATAAACTTATAAGTTGATTAAAATAATTTTTATACTAAATTATAGTAATAATTAAATTTAATTTTCTTGAAATGGTAGATTTCACTAATCACTAGTTATTCGTGAAATACAATACAACTATTAAGCATGTAAATTAACAATAATCATATTTTATTGGAAAATTCAATTATGTAAATCATTTTTTGAAAGTATATTGTGCATGAAAAAATGATGAAACGAAAATTTGATTAAAAGACGTGATTAATGCATATAATTTGATTATTATTATTGTGGAGACTGTGATTAGACCTTTTATGGGAAAAGAGCAACGATGATGATAGTCTCAACTCTTATGTCGGGACATTAGATTCTTATTATGGTTAAAATATATTTTTAAATGCGTTTATTGGCCCACATTTTGTTTGACTTGATTGTGTACAGCGTACCTAACTAACCATCGTTGTATAATCTTTTCTTTCTTTTTTTTTTTTGGTGTGTTTCATCTGCGTGTAGACATGGCCACGGGCTGAACCGGTCTGTGGCCCGACCCGCGAACCGGTACCGGCCAGACCTGAACCAGCATCTTAAGGGTCGGTTCATTGAATTGGGACCCGTAGGGCCACGATTCGGTCCCGGTTCATACACTCTTTGTTTTTGACCCAGCGGACCGGGCTGGGTCGGGCCGGGTCGCGAGTCATTTGCCCTTTTTTTGGATTTTTAAGGGCCGTACCGATGGTTTTTTTGGGGCCAGTTACGGGCCATAATGTTGAGGCCCGCCGACTCGGCACCTGGTCATGCCTATCTGCGCGGGGCCGTAACCGTATTCCCCGTTTCTTACATGATATCATAGTCGGTTCTGTTGGGATCGTACGATGACGTGCCCGTTTACCCACCTTGTTTCTAGTAGGGCATGAGCACCCAGCTCCGTATATGGGCTAGCTTGAGCTTCTTATGAAGGACTCACAAGTAGTGATGAGACGTATTAGAATATTCACTTGTGAGTTGACCCACATTCACTATATAGGAAAAACAGACATAAATTATAAGACTAATGAGCTACTCCTCATTCCATCAATTAGTTTTGGGATGAACCTCACTTGAGCTTTATCTTAACTTTCTCTATCTTGGTGCGCTTCATTTGCGTGAGACCGCACCCGTTTTCCCGTCTCTTACACTCCTCAAATAATTGAATAGATCGGTTGAAGATGATTATATTTAGCACACCATTGATAATGATTATTATAGTTAACTGTTCAATCACCTTTTACAAACTTAATGTAATGTCTGGCTTTAATTGTTAGTATCTCCCATCTTTTTAGTGGTCACACACGAATTCATCACAAGTAATTGTTTGTGGTGACCCAAAATGTTCAGTTGTCTGTACAAATCAATCTTTATTAATTATGAAAAATTGTAGTTCGATGAAGAAACTTTTTTGATACCTTAAAATTTCGGAGTATTTATAGCAACAAAGGTGCAAATTAATTTGATGTCTTCAAATTTATTATTATTTAATTAATACTATATTTGTTTCAATATAATAATTTACTCAAAGTACTTAAAGTTGTCTTATCATTTTACATTGCAAAAATCAAAATAAAACAATATAGATTGTATGTTATTAATTTGTTATTATTTAATTAATACTATTACATTATGTTCATGGAAAATTTGAATATATATATATATATATATGAATAGCTTTTATTAATATTCAAGAAGATGTCATGCTAGACATAACTTAATAATAACTTTAAGATAATTTAGTCGAGACATTCACTATCAATGTAAAGGCCCTTGCCTACTTTCCTTACAAGGTTATGTAGAATTCTTATTACAAGTTACATGCTCTCACATTGAAAATTTCAGCCTATTTTATTATGACTTTCAAATAGAGTATGAAAACTAAATGATTCGAACTTGAGCTCCTGAGGATGGGCTCGTTAACCGAACGATTTAATAGATTAATGAGCTCGAGTTCAACTTATTTATCCAGAATTAACGAGTTGAAGTCAAATCGACCGATCTCGAGTTTAACGACCCTACCTTTAGAAAATTATGAATAAAAAAAGTGATATATTTCATCTTTCACGAATAAATTCAAATTTATAAGTGTTTTGTTTCGTCTAACGACTCTAAATGTAATAATGTCTAATTTTACTTGAAAAACAAAAATAGTGAAATGTTATTCTTGTACAAAAAATTTACCCCAATGAATTTATTATATACAATAATTGCAATCAATAACCCAACTGTATGTACCCCAATGAACCTAAAAACATTAGCAAAATATTTCATTACTGCCTATACTATAGAGGACCGATAAGTTGTATTGGGCCAATCTTCAAATGATATCTTCTGGTCCAGCGAGAAATGAGCCCATATATAAGAGGCCCAATAACTATTACTTGGATGAATTCAGTTGACCCATAGTGCAAAGGCCCAGTCACAACATCATGAGACTTGACCAAATAATAAACGCCATTTTACATGTTTATTACTTTTTAACTAGTACAACACCCGTGTATTATACGAGTGTTTATTAAAATATTATTCTTAAATTTTAAAATTAATAAAAAAATTATATTAAATTTAGTTTACTTTTTTAAAAAAAAAATATATTACTATATATTTTAGAATGATATGTGTTACTTATGTCTTACATGTGTTATATTATATTAGTTTTTATAACTTAAATCATATAACTACTTGAAATATAACTATATTAGTTGATAAATAATTTTATTTTTCTAATTAATATTCAAAATAATTTTATTATTGTTATAAAGAAAAATATAAATTATTTTTTTATACATACAATATGGATGTTAAATCGAAGCTCATCAAAAGAAGATAATTTGATATATTACATATATAAAACTAATAAAAAATACAAAAGTTTTTAACTTTTAAAATATATATACAATTCAATAGTTATAATAAAGAATAATATTAAAATGCAATTAATAAATATAACATGACCATAAATAATCAACATATTTATGGTAATCCGAACCTAATTATTTTTTGTTTGAAATTAAATTAAAATTTACCCAAGCCTAATAACGAAGCATGTAATTTTGCAACATAGGATTTCGAAGCACCAGAAGCAGCCACGTAGGCTCCGCGCGTTCTGAATTAATATATAGGGGAGGGGATATATAGGGGGATTTTTTCAAAAAAAATGATATTAAAAATTAAATCATAAACATATCATTTATAATGTGTCATAAACTAAAAAATAATGCAATATAAAAGCTATTTATACAATAAATCACAAATTGACCATTGGTAAACCATGAAAATAGTACAAGAGCATCTCCAATGCTCAAATGTTGTTATAAATTTTTTTTTTTTACAAACGTCAAAAAATTAAATAGATTGTGAACCATGTAGGACATATGTTGAGTTCACAACTATTAAATTAAAAAATTATCTCCAATGCACAATGTTGTCTAATTACAATATTATCTACTTGCCAAATAATAAAATATTAATATGAATTAATAAAATTAAATAAATAATTAAATAATTTGAAGATGGTAAAAAAATTCTCTCTCTTCTCCTCATTGACTAATTAGAATGTGGAATAGAATGTGGATGAACCACATTCTTCTCTACATTGTGGACATTAATTATGTCCACATCATCACAATATTTGTGATCACATTGTACATTGGAGGATAAAAAATTGTGATATTAATAAATGTGTTGATGTGGAGTGTAATTTACCACTACAACATTGAGCATTGGAGATGTGCAAATAAGCTAATTAAGATCTATAAATGAATTTTGTAAAAAATTACCCACCGTAACACACGATAGAGGTTGATTTTATCGAACTTTTCTTTGACTTGATACACATATAGTAAAATTTTTTATCTATTCGTGTATTTATAATTATAACTATCAATTATTTATTTTTTTACGGTTTTATATCACATTATTCTGTACAAACAAATAATAATAATAATAATAATAATAATAATAATAATAATA